CTAACTAATTAGTTTCGATCCTCCTGCTTCTGTAACTGTCCTGTGCCTGTTTCTAGACTTAGAGTGAGTGGGATTGTTTGCACACTCTTGGTGTATGTTTGCCATTTTTCCATGAATAAGTCTCAAAGCCTAATCAGAAATGGTGTTTCAATCTGCACTTTGTCCCTCGTTATTCCCTGCATTTCTTCCAATAATGTCTGTTTTTTGAATCTGTTGCAGTCTGAGCTACAGTGGATTGTTGAAAAGTAGATGGCAATGCATGCAGAGCTGATAGTGTTTTAAACAGTAAATGGAATTTCCAGTGTGTGCAAGTGTAAAAGTAAGGTTTATTTATAGGTATTTTGTCTTATGACAATACTGTATAGCCAAAGTGAGTTCTGTCTTCACTGAAACATGCCTTTGGAATTGTTGATATTAGAGAAAAGGTTCTGCAACTATTGGAGATGTAACAGTGTGATTCGTGATGCATAGTGTAATACTGGAACAGTCCACATAAACCAGCTATTATAACTTAGAGTCTTTTCTCTAGTTTTGTACTAGAAGAACTTTTGAACTGGAGCAACTTTCCGACAGACATTGTTTACTTGAGGAATTTTCATTTTATGTGTTTACACAATAGTAGTTAATAGCCATTTTGTAAAGTTCTTTGACTTTCTGCACATTCTGTAAGGATCACTTTGGCTGGACTACAGCAAAGATAGATGGAATCCTTTTGCCTGTGATGAAACAGCTGAATGTGCAGCAGGTAAAGTATAAAACCTATAGTTTAAGGGCAACTGGAAAATTGTGAGAAGCATTTTAAAATTAAGAGCAAGGATTTAAACTAAAATATGTTTCTCAAAAACCGGGCTTTGGTCATATGTTTTATAATCTTTATGTATATATATTTAAATCATTAAATGTACTTCTCCAGACTTCATTTCTGTATGATTTGAATGTGCTGTGAGGGACTCTACATAATTTCAATTGTTGGTCTCAAATTTTATTATCTATCAAGCACCTATCTCAAATCGAGGCTGCTGTTTCTTCTGGATGTAGTTGACGCTACAGGTACCTCAAGCAACTTTAGTAATTTTAAAAGACAATATGCTGTCTCTAAAAAGTATTTATAAAAATGCCCCTAAGGTTTTGGTGAAGTGATACTGCCCATTTGATGCCATACATATCCTTTGAGGAGGAGTGCAGGCTGAACTGTTGAGCAAGTGCCCATTAATAATATTGTTCTAATTTCCAAACAAATGTTCTGTCAACTTTAATAAAAGCTGAAAGGGAATAGTGATGCATACTGTGAAAACTGTCGAAGTCAGTTGTGAAATTGATCACCCAATCTCAGGCTGTTTTCTCCTTTTGTCATATACGAGGTAGATATGTTGTCTAAACCAGTGTTCTAAGTTCTCTGTATCACTCAAAGGATTGAAAGGTACCAAACCCCATGGTTAAATAGTTATACTTTCAGGTTGACTTGAGCATCCTTTGGAAGCGTCTGTTTCTCTTAGACAATTTTAGGGAAAATATAGAGGGCTAGCTTAGTCTCTACAATAAGCCTGGCTGTGGTTGAATAGCACAGATCCATCCTGTATGACTACTTCTAGTTCTGCTCTTCGGAATTATACTGTAGCAGCATGTGGTACAACGAACTTGAGTCAAATGACTGTGTGTTGCACTTGCAGGCACAAATGTGAAGTGCACTTACAACATTTACTTAGTAAACATTCTGCTGTTTTAACAGCTTGAAGCTAAGGATGTGTTTGTAAGGACATCCTTAAGAGCACTACAGAGGTTCTCTGTATTAGGGTTGAAAATAGCAACATATGTCTAATCATCAACAGTACAATGTTTATGAATTTCACTGGAGGTTGCTACTTATTTGGTTTCTGTAAAGGTTCTTGTTGTATAATTTATAATAAGATATAGGTATTACTTAATAATGCATCTTATTGTTCACATCTATGTGCACATGTATTAATTTCATTAGTCCTTTGTCCTGCTTTAGTTTTGGGTGGCTTATAGCATAGCTGAGATAACAACTGAATTCCTATCCTATTTAAAGGTGTTTTTCTGTTTTATTTTTGATAGACTCAGCTTCGAATTGATTCATTCTTCAGACTAGAGCAGCATGAAAAACTAGCTATTAAAAGTCAGAGACTGCGCAGAGCTGTGACTTGCCTGAAGAGAAAGGAAAAAGAAGCAGACGATGAAATTCAGGAGACCACTGCTGTTACAGAGATGGAACTTGAACAGCATGAGAAAACAAAAGGGGAAGGTACCACAGGCTGCGCAAATCTAACTGTGGCAACAAAAGCCCAGAGGGGAAAGAGAAGAAAACACTCAGATTCCAGAAAAGAATGTTTATATGGAGGTGGTTTTATTGGAAATTTGCATCTTTCAGAAACCTCTAGTGACTCCTCAGAGGAATCAGGTAGTAGAGATTTAGGCAAGAGCAAAAGGAGGAAAAACACCTCTACGACAGAGACTGCAGACCATAAAGAGAAAAAGGGGTGCAGTAGCTCAAGTGATGAGGAGGAAGACCTGGGAAATGTAGTCATGGTGACTGCCAAACCTGTGTTTGAGGGCAGAAAAAACAGATCACGGGGCAAGAGAGGAATAAGAAAGAAAAAGTCTTAAAGAAGAAAAGTAATAAAAAGGGCAGACTCTTGTGGCATTTATGATTTAAGCTTTGTAATTATTCTAGTGAATTTTTGATAAAATATAATAAATTATTTCTATTTGTTATGTATTTGTCATTCATTTTCTGTCCAGACCTTAAATAGAAGGGATTCTAAGCAATGAAAAAACTAATTTTAGGACATTTACTCATAAAGATCTAGATTGAACTTGATATAAGTTTTCTGGATTCAGATTTTAAAATTGAGCCAATATGTGATGTCCATTCATTTACATTCTGAGTTAATTGTTAAAATCACCTGCAATCTGTTGCTTTCTTAACTTAGAACTTAAATGAAATTTTGAAAACTACCTGGGTGATTTCTAGGTGTTGCAAGAAGGAAAATAAGTTCAATTAGTTTTGTTTTTCTTTTCCCTTCACTAAGCCTGTCTTGAAAGTAATGTCGTTTATTGACGAGAGATGAAGCAAACTCTCGTAAAATCTCAAGGAAAAACACACAGTATAATCAGTCCTTACATAATCTGATGAGCAGTAGTTGTTTATGTTCTGAACGTAAATGTCATGTTTCTAGATTTGGATTTCCATGACCATATCGAAAGACAGTGTTTGTTTGAAAAAGTGGTGCAGCAACTCACATCAGATTAATTTTTGAGAGACAATGTGTTGGGCTCAGACTTCTCACACATCTCACCTCTTTGAATGATTGTAGAATTTATTTCTACCTCCTGTGGATTAAGGAGGAAAAGTACAGTCTTACTTTTATTCTCACATTACATTTTAGTCCTTCTTGCCCTTTTTTTTGTCTTCTCATTTGATATTTCTACTGTGTTTCTCATTGTTTCATTGTTTGAAATCCAAGTCCATATATTTAAGTTTTGTATTAGATATTATCCTCCCCTAAAAGGATGAAGGGCTGACGTGAACTGGGTGTGATTTGATCCTCACAGTTGCAGAGACTCTAATACTTCATGTACAGTTTATATTGGTCAAAAATGATCCTCTTTAAACCTCTTTTCTAAAAGATTATAACATTTTAAGCAAATTCTCAGCCTGTACAACCAGTTTACAGCACTAGTTTGTAAATCACTCATTACTATTACTGAATTTTACTTTAAAAGTGTGTATCAGGTCTCAGCGAATTGTTTAATAGTTTATAGGTCTAGAAGAGCTCCTGTTAATTTCTTCTGCTGAGTATGGTAAAGTACACACACCCTCACCTCTCTGTAGGGCTTGTTTAGTATTTTTGTACAATAATTTATCATTTTTCTGTAACACCTAGAAACCACAGTTGAGGTTGAAGTCTATTTTTTCTAAAAAATGTGTAAAGTAAGAGATGGTTCTTGTCCTGAATTGATTACACACTAAAACAGAGATATCTTAGATAGCTGTAGTTGTTCTTATGGCAGTAAGTATTTGTAATCTGTTGAGTGAATAGACATTTGGAATATAGAGGAGTGTGATGCCTTAAAATCTATATTATATTAAATCGTAGTATAACTATATATAGTATAACTGACTAGTACTTTTAGTTTGCTAAGCACCTTTGTATTAGATTCCTAAAATGCTGTTTAACTCTTTCTGTCAAGAATTTCAAAGAAAATAATCAAAGAAATAATTTTCTGACACTTTTTAGTATAGAAAGGCAAAAAGCTATTCTTTAATTGAGGCGTTGTAGGTGCACAAAAAATATTGTACCGACCATGGCATAGACCTTTACAATTTTATAATACCATCTAATTACAATATCTGGACATTACTTCATTGGTTACACCCATCCCCAAAACCATCCCTCCCATCATCCCACCCTTGCCACACCTCCCAAATCTGAGTTGGTGGTCTCAAAATGACAACCCCTTCCTCTCCACCTTCATCTTCCTTGTCCTCTATGTCCTCCTTGGAACAGCTTCAAGGCTTCTAAGTAGTTTTATCTGGTTATATCAAGTGGTCTGACCCTGTTATGTCTCATTTTGAGTACATTTCTACAGATAAGGTGTTTTTCACCTTGCTAAAATCTTTGTTGAAATTAATCTAGTAGTGTGTGGATATTTATGCAAATTGACAGCTGGGTCATGGAGTAAAGCAGAGTAGGATTTTGGGAGCTGTGTTGTCACAGTTTTGCATTCTAACGTGACCGCCCCTGCTGCAAATGCACCCCCTGCCCCTTAGTAAATTTTAATCTGTGCTTTGGGAGACCCTTTTGACTGAGGAATGATATTATGCTCTGTGGTTACTTTTTAGTAACACTGAGTGTTACATCCTGCCACTATTTATTTTGTAAAAAAATACTCCCAAGTTGGTTACTTTGTTGGTTGGAGCTCCCTTGAGTGGGTGACTGGTGTTGTTACGAAATCCACTCCCTTATGTAAGGGACATGGTGTGCGGTGCCCTCTTTGTGCTCGTCCTGCAGCTGTCAGGATTTATTATTGCTCCCACTGTGGGGATGTTGGCAATGTGTGACACAGGCTTCGGGACACGCTCCTGACACAGGCTTCGGGACACGCTCCTGCCTGTGGCTGCCCTGGAGGGAAGAGACCAGGCAGATAAGGACATTGCTGTTTGAGCACCATCTTCGGAAAGCTGCAAGAGATTCAGGTAACATTGACTGAAATGCGGTGGATGCCAGTGATATTTCACTTGTCTGTGTCTTATACTCTAAATTATTTTGTATACTTTGCTTTAAACAGCAAAACTGAGCTGTTCTGCACTGTTTAATTGCTTGTAGCACCCTTGAATGTGTATGTTAAACTCAGACAGATTGCTGTGTTGTTCAGTGTACTTCAAAGGATATTTTTAGAATGACATAAAAAGTGTAGAGGATCACAAAATAAAAAGGCTTTCCCTTGTAGGATGATTTTACAGTGCAATGTTGCTTATCCTTTAGAATGCAAAAGGACTCATTATTAACCAAAATTTGTCTTTTTTATTCTTTTGAGGTGGATGACAAGCTGATGGATGTGTGTAGCATTTTCTGCTTAATGTCCCAGTAGTTTCTTATGCTACTTGTTATTCTGCAGATGCATACAAAGACTTCAAATCCCATTGAATCTCTTTTTTGTTCCTCATCTAATGATGTTGCTATAGCTAAGTTCATGTGTAGACACAAAAATAATGTCAATAATTTTCTTCTAGGTGTTACGGTAACATGTAGAAACCTCCAAAGATATTTTTCACCTTCGAACAGGTTAATGACTGCTGGTATTGTAGTAGTAAAGTTAAACATGAAACATGTGTCTTTGGTAGGGTGAAGTCAAAAGGGCATGGTGCATCCTCTCTAAAAGGAAAGGGCTATTCCATACTGTCCTTTTTCACTTGAAGTTTTGAGACAAAAACCTACCTAGGACTTTGCACTGTGAGGAAGATTCTTGGTATTCAGCATATTTTTTTACTTTGATTGTCCTTTTTTTTTCTTTTCACTGTATAGAGATATTCCTTCACCTATTGCCTTATTTAATTGCATTCCTATTGGGTCTTTAAACATGTGTAGGTTATTAACTGTATACTGCCTGTAACTATTCCAGCAAAAATCAGTTAAATCTGCACATAACAGTGGAAATTTAAAAATTAAATTAAAACTTCAAAAATTATTAAAGCACTGATTTTTTTTTTTTTCTTCCTATGAACTCAGTGTTCTTCCTAATTGTAAAATATCAAGAATTGGAGATGATTGCTTCTGTCTACTTTTCTACAGACAGCAAAAATTGTACTGTCCTCTGTCATACTTTTCCTATTATTTTTTCTCTGGAGTCTGTGTGTTCTGTGACTGTTTATATAGGCACATATGCTTTCTGTTTAGCATGTTATTTGTAGATCCTGCTTCTTACTTATTCTCATATGCAAATTTATTCAAATAAGATTAGATCCTTAAGGTGCAGTTTTTCATGTCTTTCAGACACTTGTTGCTACCTTTCCTTTCAATCCTTTATAAGCCTACGAACCCTGATTTTAGTTTGTTCTAATTTTAAGATTTCATATAATAGTTTTAAACATTTATCAAAGCTCTTTATCTCTCTCATTTTTAAAAAAATCTACTCTTTTGCCTCTTTGAGAGTGTAAGAGTTGAACTAATTTGGTTCTGGTTCTTTTATGCCTTGAATATTGATACTTATGTGTCTACATGTTTTTATCATCTATATAAGTAAATTATAGCATAGTACATGTAAAAAGAATTTTCTTTTTTAATTATTTTTTGTGGGGAAAAAGAAATAAGGTACTTATTTCTTACATTATTCAGGCAGGCTTGTGTTTCTCTGTCCCAGAGTTTGTGACAGTATGGATTTGACATCATCACAACATAATTATCTACAAAATGAACTGGTAAGAGAGTTGGAAAGACAAGAAGGTAAAATGTTTCTTATTTCATTATTTTTCCTTGTTGCACTTAAGAATATTGTTAAGTATAAGGAACAAAGTGTCTGGCTGACAGTGAGCTATCTTCTCATTCATTTTTTCTGAAGAGCTGTGCTTATGCCACTTGTGCAGAAAATACAACAGATAGCGCTGTTGTATTCTAGCTATGCAGTGGGTATCTTAAGTATGTTACACCTGCGTACTCTTGTCCTGGCAGTTTCCTACCAGTGCCTGGCATCTGTCCTCCAGCTACTTGCCTGTGACTGGTTCCAGGAAATGAAGCTGTGACTATGATCAAGCTATTCAGAGAGGTTTGTTTACGGGCTGTCAGTTAGGGAGAATTGTTTATTACAAGCTTGGTTTCTGTCCAGACAGCCTCAGACCTAATCTTTCAAATCCCTCAGGGGCTACTGACAGCTTTTCTTCTTCAGCACTTTCATGGCTGCACATCTTTCAAGATCCTAAAGTATTGTAAGTAGTCCCCTTTTTAGCAGTCACCAGGAGTAGACAAGGTTTTAAGCCAAGTGCATGTGTTTTGCAGTGGGGTCTAGTTATGTTCTACATAACATGTGTGAAAGGAAGAGGGGTTTAAAATTATTTTATTTTTCATAATATTTTTGTCTAAAATCTCAGCTGAGTTGTGGTCCATGTACAGCCAAGCTTTTGGGTTTCTGTTTTCTCAAGAGAGATCAGCATGCAGTTTTGCTTTGCTACCTGTTCAGTGAGGCAACATGGAGCTTTGGGCATGACTGCAATACTTAAAATGAATTATTTTCTCATTAAAACTAATGTTTGTTGTTTCACTTTCAAATACTTTTTTTGGAGTACCCCAAACTGATGACCTTCTCTGGAAAGCTGATGTTGCACAAGAGGATGTCTGATAGCAATTGGTATAGGTTACTGTTCTACAAAGCACTGTTCAAGTGTCTTAATTTGGAGATTTTCTTTAATGCAATTCTCTTTCCTTTTGTCTAATTCTGATTTGAACAAAGAGCTCAAGTTGATCCTATGCAATGAAGCATGATTATTAGGAGAAGAATTATCTAGAAGAATAAATGTTAAAGATAGATCTACTAAAGACTGAAATATTGATGACTGTCATTGTGTGTTCCATAGTACACGAGGGCTGAAATGAAGTTCCACAGTCATTTCTATGCTTCTGAAAGCTTGAGTGTCCAATACAGATATTCTCTTCATGCAGGATTCAGGGCAGGGAGGAGTGAGGCTGCATATAATTTCTTTAGGTTTTGAATTATGAAAATAAATTGAATTCTAGGACATTAGGTCAATGTAAGCAAATTAGTCAGTAGAATATTTAGATCAAATGCAGAAATACATTCCACTTAGCTAACAGAGGAACTGTGTCGATAGCAATAACAGGTGGTTCTCTTCCATGTCTAGAAACACTAGTTTAAGAGAATGAGGAGACATGAATGGAAAATGGAATATCTTCAAAGTTTCATCTGACACCATATTTTGGCATCTTAAATTCCATGCCAGGTTCTGGAAGTAAAGGGTGCTGAACCTGCTGCATGGAGATTTACCTGCTCAATCACTGAGCCTGTGCCTTCCCTGTTCTTATCCTTTTTCTTTACTCCCTTCACCATCCCTATTTCATTATTTCACCTACCTAGTCTCAATATCTGTTTCTCAGGGTTCTTATTCTAGTTCAGTTTCTCTGCAAGTTCCAGTCATGGGATCATAGAATCACAAAATGTTTTGGGTTGGAAGAGACCTTAAAGACCATGCAGTTCCAACCTCTCTACCAGAGACACCTTCCACTAGACCAGATTACTCAAAGCCCCATCCATCCTGGCCTTGAACACTTCCATGGATGGGGCATCCACAGCTTCTCTGGGCAACCTGTTCCAGTGTTGCACCACTCTCACAGTCTGAGCTCTTTATCTTTGGTGCCTTCCCCTTTGCTTCTTAATTAACTCATCATAAGTTCTTCAGTTTAAAACTCCTTATTTTAGTTCACGATTCCCATTACTACTGGTTCTCAACTTACAGGTAGGTTCTCACCCAGTCTGATCCTTCCTCGTGTGTCTTTATCCAATCAGTTCTCCACATCTGCATTATTAGATGTCTCCTTTCTTTCCTCACATAATTTCTCCCGATCATTAGCTTTAAGTTTCCTTGGCTAAATGTTTCTAAGATCTGATTCTACCACTCCCATCCTAATTTCTTGGGATACTAGATTACTTTACCCCAGTTGCATCGTGTAAATTTAACCCAGAATAACTTTACGTCTGAGACAGAAGGAGGAGGACAAGTTTGCAAGGCATACTTGTCCTTGACAGTCCATCGTTGCAGTTCACTTGGCCAGGCCTTAGTTTTTAATCCATAAATATCTGAGAAAATGCTGACCTAGTAACCTTCTAATAACTCCTGACACTTTAGAAGGAGTGTCACGCTGCTTGACAGATGTCCTAATTGATGGCAATTCCTGCCATCATGTCAAGTACCTTTTTGTGAAGTCCAGAAAGGTGCCTTAAACAGGACATACTTGGAATGGAGCAAAATGAGAATCAGTCTAACCCTGTAATTTAGAAATTAAGATATTCAGCTGGGAAGAGGAGTGACCTATTTCCTGGGTTACTTCTAAAGATACTACTTCTCTTTCTCATTCCCTTCCCTGCTGACACTTTCCCACTGACTTCACAGACTTAGCTGTAAACTGTGAAAAATATCCTGGCACCTGAGCATGGAGTCCAAGTTTGCCTTTTCACAACTGAGTGCCCAACTTGTAGTTGGGCTTTTCCTTGCTTATTGTCCTTCTAGCATGATTCTTGCAATCCTGGTTTTCTGATGGCCCACCTCTGGTGGTGATGGAGGGGAAGCACCTGGTTCTGTAGGATGGCTGGAACACACCCCTTGTGTGAGTGAGTTCTGAATTTGAATTCTTCTGAGGAAGATCCAGCACTCAGTTCCTCCATTTTGAGTTCCTCATTCACTGAACCATTCTTTATATAGTGGACTTCTCAATTTATAGTGCTGGTTAAATAAAGAGCTTATTTATACTATATAGAAATAACACTTTTGCAATATCTTCCCACACCGCCTGACTTCCCTTCTTTCACCTTCCATTTTTTTTTTCATTTTTATTCTTGTCTTTTTGCTTTGAATTATGCTTCTATTAAGATTAAAAACCAACCAACCAAACACCAAACCCACAAACAAACATATAACCTCTTACATTAACGCTCACCCTAAAAGCATTAATGCTCATCCTAAAAGCATTAGTGCCTACACACACACACACACCCCAACTCATGGAAGTCACACCATTAGTTACCTACATTTTTTTCTTCATTGCAAGATTGAGAAATAGCAGAATTAAAATTCTACTCCTCTTAGGCAACAAGCTGTCTCTAAACCAAAAAAAGTCTAAAAGAGGTAGTTTAGAATAAGACCTCAGCGTAACTCGATTAAGGAGTGACTAAAAATAAATGGCACCTTCACAGCAAAACAGAATAGTCTAGAAATAACTCTTCTCTTTATTTATCTCTTGAATGTCTTGCAGTAAGTTACCTCTGAGCTCTTTTGTTTGAAAGTGGCAGCATTCAAGTACTCTACTAAATATCAGTAAAAATTCATTAATTTAACACTTCTGTGTTCCTTTTCTCTCCCCACAAGAAGTAGACCCACTTTCATTGAAGACATTGCTAAGCTCAAGTGGAAACTTCTTGGGTATGGATAGAGCAGAAGTTGGAGGCAACACTCAACAAATAACCAAAGTATACATCAACTCTGTAGAGAACTCTGCAACTTATTCTACCCTCTCAACCATGTGCCCGTCTTTCCTATTTTCACTTCTCTAATCTTTTCACTAGCTGCAGTTTGACACTAAATAATATTTTTCAACTGCCACATGGAAAAGGTAGTAGGGTTGCATGGATTGGTGTTTTTAGTTTATTTCAGGTCCTTTATTCAAAGATGTATTTTAGAAACCTAGAATTATTGGTAGGTGAAAACTGATGGCATTTTCTTGAGTCTCTTTCTATCCATCAGGAAGTTGGTTGCCTTTTCTAATATACATTAAACAATCTAATTTAAAGTTGCAGTCTTTTGTTGTCAAAGTCAAATAATTTAGTTATTTTTAGCTGCAGAGCTTTGACCTGAAGGTGTTTCCAATGACAGACAAACACGATGAAGTAACAGGGGAAGTACTTCACAAATTAGAATTCATTATGTGTCCCTGAGATGGACACTATGGTACTTCTATTTTCAGCCTTTTAATGGATTTTAAATGACCTGTGACTTGGATAGGACTAGGATATCAGTGGTGTAAATTCCAAATTTACAAGTGCCTCTCAAGCCTGGGCAAATACATAGACTGGATACTGTGAGTGTACCGCTCTTCAGTTCTTGTGTCCTCATGCTCTGAGCTAAGTGCATTTTGTCTTTTGACTGAGAAGAGGCTGCCTGTGGTGGCAGTTGTGTATTTCTGCATTTCAAAGTATAAAATATCAAGTATTATATTACCCTGACATAGTATCTCAGATTAATCAATATAATATACCTCTTCATTGCCATCGTTTCAGCAGGTTGAACTTGTAATGAATGTACTGCTAACACTTACATGATGATCTCCCTTTTTGTAGGTAGGGATGAAATAAGGAAAAATTAACTGTCATTTAGACAAGTATTTCCATGGTACTTTGCTTTATATTCTTAGAAAGGTATAGGTTACATCTGACTTCTGTGAAGTCAAGAGCATGATTAGATTTTCCTCCTATCCCCTTCCTTTAAAGGTCCTCAGGCTGGAATAGAATGAAATAGAAATAGGTGGAATGACATAAAGATACTAAAGGGATACCACCTGGAATTTAGGGACTATTTTGTGATTCAGGATTTTGTATGTTTCCATGGAGCCATCTGTAATGCTTGCAGGAGCAGAGCTCTGATCTGGAGATATCAGTAGCTCAGTAAAAATTCTGAGATGCCAGAGTCCCTTAGTATTGAGACCTTTCTGGTTTTTTTGGGGGTAAACTTGGTCTGAGCCATTGGAAATACCCATATGGATTCACAGGAATACCTTCTGATGATTTCTATCAGTGGACTAATGTAACTCTTCTCCGGTCATCTCTTACAGTTACAGAACTGGTGGCAGATTTGTTCCCTCACCAATCTTTCTGCAGGTATCCTCTTGACTTTGGGATATATAGATAGCTATTTTATACATATATATGTATATATATATATATATATATACTATGTGTATTATATATATCATGTCCATATGATATATATAAAATACATCTTAAATACTTAGTTTGTATGACTCCAGTCCCATGTGTCCAGAGTGGGGGGATCTAAAGAGTCCTGGATATTACAAATTACTTTTTTGCATTATTCGATCAGTAATATCAGCACAGGTAGTCCTCTTATGTTCATCAGACCCTGACATAATTGCTGAGAAGTCATGGAGGACTTCTCCACATATGTCTTCACAGCTGTTGATACATGGTATTAAAATATTTGTAAGTACAAATATATATGGTACATTTTAAATCTAAACTCCATAGGTGAGATTATACTGCTTCTGAAGAAGGGAGAGTATGTTGTTGTAGGGCTGAACTTTGTCAGGTCAAGTTCATGCTTAAGTCTTGAATTTCATTCCTTTTGCCAGTTGGAGAAGATCCATCAAAGCAGGAGAGAAGCAGAAAATGATTGGATCTTATTTCCTTGTGACCTTGGGCTGTGACACCATTTGACCTCAGGAGTTTAAGTAGGGTCAGAGCAGCACTTGAAAGAGGCTAACATGTATTTTTTTTCTGTAGGCTGTTTTGATGAATCAGTGGTTGAAACTATGGTTTCTGAATTAATGCTGTTCTAATCCACTGACAAAGTATTCGGAATATGTTTTGTTACTCTGTGTGCTATTTGTGAGTGAGTCTGAAAATGGATGTTAACTGCTAGTATCTTCTTAATAGCTTTCGTGTATGAGGGTCATTTTACTTTTTTAGCCACATTTTAATTCAGGTATTTAGACAATGGTAACTTTTTTTTTTTAATGTAATTTTGATTTACCCCCCTTGTCTTTGCTGTTTTCCCTGCATTTTAAGTGCTGTTTTATGGTGCCTATCTCTGCTTGCTTTTCATTCTGTGGAGAATGCAATAATGTAAGCAATATCATTAGTTATGCAAAGAGAGATTTAACATATGCTATTAATTGATGGATACTTAACTGAATTTTAAGGTTACCATTTCCTAGTGGAGCTATATACTTCCAGGCATGTTTTTATGTGACAAGTCGTGTAAAGGGAACAGCTGATAATGTAGCTGGTTTCTAAACAAGTACTATTTCTACTCATTCTAATCAAAAAGTGTGAATATAAAGACAGCTTTCTGCATTGTTAAAGAAAAAAATGCTGCAGTTTGCAACTTTTTTCATTCTAACCTGGTCTATCTCCTGTTATTTTTTTCTGCCTTTCCTTCCCACTTGAAGGACTTCTCCAGGTCTGTCTCAGCAGAACTCACATCCTTTTCTTTCTTTAAGTTTTGCTGTAACAAGACAACTAAAGTCACATTTTAACATTTGACTTGTGAATGTGTCAGCAAAATCCTCTGGCTCCCTACACAAGATTTTGCAGCTTGACACAAGTTTCTCTAACTAACCTGCCACTAACTTCACAACTCCGGTCTTCCACCTGATTTAGTATGTCTCTTTGGAAAACTGTGTTTGCATTTCAGTTGTAATAATGATGATTGCTTTGCCTTTGAGAATGATGCTTTCGTTCTTTTGATGTGGTTGATACAGTGCCAGATGTGTCAGCAGTACCTGAGTTTTTTTCCCTCAGCCCTGATATTGACATAAAATGCAGGGAGTTCAAACAACACACTCCAAAGATTTTTGACTCCAAGGTTAGACTTCTATAATAAACAATACTTTATCTGAAGTATTCCAAAGAACACTTAAGAAATTAGCCTATTAGGCATAAAGTCTTAAGCAACTTAAAGACATTAAAATTCTATTTCTTAAAGAATTTCAGCAGCTATAGATGGGAACTTCTTTGTGAACACAAGTTCAAGACCAAAGGAGTGCTATCTGTTTCACTAAGAAAAACTATCTCAATTTCTGTGTTACCTGAACAGGATCAGATTGCCTCATTTTACTATAAATAAGGTTTTAGACTTGAAACTCCAGTGGTTTCTTTGTATACATGCTCATGCAAATAGATAAATAGGCTGAAGAAAATCATTCTATATATATACATACATACCACTTTCATGCCTCTCCACATCACAGAAGAGGAGTGAGGGCAAACCTACCTGGTCAAGCACAGGCAAATGAAGAGGGGAGGATCCAGTCCTAGCAGACCTTTAAGTTCTGACAGTTCAGTATGGGTGCTCGAGTAGTATTGCTGGAAATGCTCATTATGCACTTCCATACTTAGAAGAATTGACAACCAAGTCATTCAAGCCACCTCCTCTCTTGTCTGATCCTGTTCTACTGATGAGTCATTTCTTTTTGTCTTAAAACGTCGTTAAAATCATTCATTGAGTCATAATTTCAGTTTGTTTTTTTTTTTAACAAGAGAATATGAACATAGAGATAAACACTTCCAGGAGCATAACTTCCTTTTGGCTTTTTACATCTGTTATCAAGAAACTAGCTTGATCAAAGTACCAGCAGAATTTTCTTAGTGTTTTCAGGTATTAGAAGACTTCATCTCATTTGGATTTTACTTACTCTTATAGTAATTTTTGTGTCACTTGACAGATTTTCCACTAGTTCTTTATTTTTCTGTTCTGACTACTCTGAAGGCAGTTACAGAAAAATTAACTTCTTTCCCTTTGCATAATCCCATAAGAAGTTAGTTTGAAAGATATAAAGCAGCAAACAGAGGAGTGTCTTTTGCAGTATGTAAACTTGTATGAAGGAAAGTGAATCTGACTAAAAGTCTACACTCCTTATTTTGTCAGCACTCTTCATCAGTATCATTAGAATCCCAGTCCTGATAAAGTTTCTCAGGTTTTAAAGCCTGCCTACCATATGGTAACTCTGATGAAACAGATACTCTTCTTGATTCTTCACTATACTAGTAGCATTTTAAGGGGAAATAAAAAAAAATAAAAAATTTTGTAAGCTTCTCCAGGGAACTCACCTGGAGGATTACCAAAGGGATAAGATGGGCAAAAATTTAAATGGTGTTATTAATCAGCAGATTGGGCATTCTTCTTTTAGGAGTGCCGACGGTTTAGCTCAGGAAGGAAGCAGTGGCCTACAAACTCTGTTAGTGTAGGTGCTGCACAAGGCTGAAATAGAAAGTTTGCTGATCACGTAGGGAATAGATGGGAAATGTTTATTAAGCGCTAGAGGGGCAGCTGTAATACTGCTAAAGTTTTATAGATCTTCTGGCAGAAGCTTTGTAAGTTAAGACTTAATAAGTTACCAGCTTCTCAACAAAATTGGATCCAAAACTGATGTCAGGGGAGAAAGAATCAAGAAAAATGACTGTAATTGAGAAGTAATAGAAAGAATAGCTTTTACTTCCCAGCTAGTAATGATCACAGAACAAGATCAGACTGCTCTAAGCAATAGGAGAAGATTAAAAGCAGTCTGTATCTGGTATGCTTGGAAACAGGACGATATATTAAATACACTTATGATATGAGTAATAAGACAGCTTTATATTATTTTTTTAATTAAAAAAAAGATTAATTTTGCCCTGAAGCAGCATTTCTCTGACATTTAATTCATGTTTGCCAAGAGCTCCCTGATTACAGGCACAATGACTCATGTGTTTTCTCTCAGCTTAACATTAGAGGCTTGAAGAAGATATAATGGGCTGACACATACTACTTGTTTCCTAACATCTTAGAATACCAAAGTTTCAGTGTTGAGCATTTTATTTTAGTTATCTTTATAAAATTTATAAAAACCTGTTTGCATTTTTTTCCAGTAGTATATACACTGCATTATTTTTAATTTTGCTGTATCCCATGATTAGGGTTCTCCCCTCACAGTAAATTCATGGAGTACTGTGGTTGGTTAGTTGGTTTTTGTTGGGTTTTTGTGTCTTAGGGTCAACATACTATGATTGAATATTTTTGCTTTTTCTTCTTCATTTGTTGCTGTTCTCTAGTCTCCTCTGATACTTAAAGTTGAGTTACAAGCTTAAAGCACTGGCTAATGAGCCTGAACATCTTCCTCATGTAATTTTGTTTGGTATCATCTTTTTCTTAGTTCACTCCTGCTTTTGTTCCTTGGGCCTTGTATCACAAGGAAGGGAGAGAGACTTTGTCAATATGTTAGCAATAAAATTACTGAGGCATATGGCAAAACAAGTGATGACACTTGTGGCTGTCATGTCCTGTGACTGCAATGATTTGAGGGAGAAGAAAATATGAAGAATCTTTGGTAGACCAATGTGTTTTATGCTGTCGAAAGCATAAATGTTTCCATTTTTAACAGCATTTGGGCCTGCAATTTCCATGCAGATCCTGATATTGATATCTGTGATTTTGTTGGAGGCTGCAGGCTTGATACAGAAACTCTGCTTTGGACAAGGTGGTAACCCAGTTATCTAAATCTCTAGCATGCTTTCTAGAAGGTGTAGCTTGTAAACATGTTTTGTTTTAGCTGATTTGCCAACAGATCGTAGTTGGCACTGAAAGCAAAATTCTTGTGAAAACTTGGAATCAATCTAGACTTTGCTAAGAAAATGCTCTAGACAACTTCACTTACATATTTCTTTTCCTAACATTGTGGTGCTGCTTTGTGTGATGATGGCAAAACTGAAACTAGCTTGGTATGCAACTAAAAAAGAATGAATCCTCTCCTGTTAGAAGAGTTATCCAAGATTATGTTAGCTATCATAAATATCCTTTGCTTAGCAACAGGAATGGCATTCAGGATATCAAGCCAACTGGAAAAAATACCTCTGACAGGGCTCTGTTGGTGTGGGTGGATAAGCTTTCCTGATAACACTAGTGCTTTCACTCCTGTCTGTTATAATTTGTGTTGCTAGGATCTGTTTCACAAGTTTTGTGACAGACTTATAAATGATACTCTGCCTCCTTTTGTTTACTGTCAAAAAGAACCATAATGTGGGGAAAGTGATTAGCAAAAGGATATGGAAAATAATGAAAAATCTGGGCACATAAGACCATGAGTACCTATACTAGGGCAGCTGTTCTTGAAGGGAAAAAGAAGTTTAAAAATTTCCTTTGGATTGCTGAAAGGAAAAACAACGTATGGTGACATTCCCCTTCTTTACTTTTTATGAACTTAGCTGCTTCAGCAAAATAGGAAAGAAATTATTTAGTCATAAAACTTAAAACTTCAATTAGAATTCAGGAGAATTGTCATATATCATGCAAACTGCTAATGGTGAAATGTATTTTTATTTACAGATGTAATTCATGTTCTTGCTTCCAAATAAACTTTTCAACATGAATTGGTAGTTTCATTATCAGTCCACTCAGCCTGTTTGACTTTTTATACTTTTTCTTCCAGGGGAAAAAGAGGATGAACAGATAGTTGCAGAAATCATGAGGAGGCGGTTTTTTCCTGCTCTTATAACTCATGAGACCTGGGAAGGCTTTCACTTTGCTGGCCATGAGATAAGAATTACAGAAGCCACTGATTGTTATGGGGCAGTCGTCTGGCCATCGGTACAATATTTTTGCAGTATTGTTATTTTTTATTTTTGGAGTCTTCTAGCACTTTTTAATTTGTTTGGTAGGACAAATATGTTTTATTATATGTTGTAAACCCAAGGAAATAATTCTGTGCTTCTCTGTCTCTGTTCTGAAAATCCCAAACCTGAATTTAGCCTGGTTTTGTTTGAATTTGTGGTTCTGAAAGCTTAGATGGTATTTCTTCTTTGTGCCCCAGTCATACAAGGTGTATGATCTTGTGTTGCCTCCTCATTTACCAGTAACTTTTGATTCTATTAGGCAATTACATGCATATTTTGAAGGAAATATGGCAGTTTTATGATTATTGCATTTCTGTACGTTTTGTAAATACAGATGGCTGTGTATCAGGCAGATCCAGGTTGTGGAAACCACTATGCTACAAGCTCACAAGATATTAGCACTCACAGAAGCTACACAGGCTACTCATGTAAGAAACAAATTTACCTTATAAATATGTAGACAAGGGAAAAGGAGCTTTCAGTTTCTTAAGCAGCCAGAAATCTAGTGGGAGAGAACAGTTGTCCTTGGCTCTTGATATAAGAACCGTGAGCACATCCACCATACAAGAAGCTTTCTTCGAGGTTTTGAATCTGCACAATGTAGCTGACTGACTGTTTGGAAATAATTAAGACTGAAAGAATCCACCAAGAGGTGCCACGATAAACCATTGACACTTGTGGCTTTCAGGGAACAGTCCCTGTAGGAGAGACCCAGGAGGCTCCATTTCTGTCCCAGCTGTATCAGCGTCCCAGGTTCATACTGTTTTTAAGAAGTATGGCCATAGTTCAGCTGCGATATTCCTTGTTTTAGGAGATCTGGACAAATAATCTATACTATATGTTTTAGTGATGTCAGTGCATGTCCTCATGGAAAGTTTGGCTGACTGCTGATTATTCTCACAGAATCATGGGCTTCATTGAAAAGCACCTTTTTTTTTTTTTTCCTAGAAGGGCTTAGCCAGTTTTGCTGCGTAAGGAAGACAACCTTTCAATCTATGTTTCTTGATGTTCTCCCTTCCTCTTGATCTAGCTTTGCTTGAACTCATGAAAAATGTCAGCCAAATTTGTCAAGAGGGGAGAAACTTTAATGAAAATAAAGTTTCTGTATGTTTCATGGGAAGGCAGAACTCTCAGGAACTTTGATTTTGCTAGCTGGTTTCTACAGCAGAATAGGGTGAACTCTGAGGGAAGGAATTATAGGAATTTATGGAATAACAGGAAATCCTAATATAATGTGCCAAATATTAGTCGAATATCAGACCCAATCTATAGGAACCTGACTTTAATTAGTCCTAGTTCTCACAGACTTATTTCTTTACCAAAGTTCACATTACCTACTCTTTCATGGTCTGAATTAAGAGGTAGAAAACAAAAACTTTGTTCGAATTTCTAGAATGTTAACACTGGGTCAACACTCCTGTTCCTTTCCTTCTACTTCTTAATTAGTTAAAAGCAAAACTAAGAGTGTAATTTTATTGTGCCAGACCAAGCCACAAATAATTACCTTTCCAAGTGGCAAGAGGATGTGGCAACCATCATATATATTTGTCAGTGGAGACTATGTAATTGTCATCATCTGGGGAAAAATATGGGAGACAAGCTCGAAACTATCTTTGCCAGAGAAATAAAGTTAACAATTTCTATTTCAACAGTGAACTAAAATTCATTGATTAGTGTGAGACAGGGCAGATAGGCTGAAGGGGCTTCTTAATCACAGTTTATAAATACTTGTGTAAGGAGTCTGTTGTAGAGGGCTCTTTGTGGCTATATTTGCTATGAAAGTTTGCTAAACTTAACGAGGTAAGCACACAGAAACTGAAAACAAACTGAACTGGAAGAAAAGGGTGTAAATCTATTTGTCCCTTTTGAATCATTATGATAATTACTTATTTGTAGAAATAATTTACCATTGGAAAACTTAACAAGGGTCATTGTGGATTTTCTCTCACAAGCAGTCCTTATGTCAAGATGTCTTTGTAAAGGACACCTTTTAAATCCATCAGAAATTCCAGTTATAAGCAGGAATTGCTGACTGTAATTTTACAGCTCATGTTATGCATAATGACAGATTATCTAATTGTAGTTGTTCCTTCTGGCTGTAATAATTTATTAACCTACATGGAGGCATGTTGTGGCATTTATTTTGTGACCTATAGAGCTCAAAGATCATAGTGAGCTGTGATCCTTTAGGGATAGTGTTTAAATGGATATTGCTCATTTGAACAGACAACAGGTTTTTTGCATGCTTTTGAATGACAATGCATATTTAGTGAAGGGGTTTATTTAATTAATTTATTCAGTATGTTCACGGATTTCCTCCACTACAGGCTCTTGTTCTGTGTTATTTTTTGGAAACTAATTCTAAACAATACAATTTGGTTGACAAAAATGTGATTGAAATTGGAGCTGGAACTGGGTTGGTCTCCATAGTAGCCAGCTTACTGGGTGAGTATGTGCCATTGCTGTTATGGTCTTAGAAATAGCTCTCAGTTGAATAGTGGAGGACAAAGGAAGTGTCTTAGTTCTTCTAAAAAGCTGTTGTTTGAGAGCTTCCCAGACTGAGAAACAGTAAATTCTAATTGGAAACATGCTTTGTCACTTTTTTTTTTCTCTGAGTGTATTGATGCAAGAAAGGAATAAATATATTGTCATTAACTGTGTTAAACAGAGGACCAAAATAAGAAATTAGTGGCTTCACAGGATGTCAGTTGGAGCCAGATGTAAGTATGACTAATGCACCCCCTTCCATTTACCAAAGAAGCTCTTAGATGCCAGGTCACTTTCTATCCATTTGTGTTTCAGTATTTTCCTTCAGCAACTTGATTTTTCTGCTACAGGCACTGTTGTGTTTTCTCTCATGGTAACCTATTCTTCCTCAAGAGTATTCCAAGTCAGTGGTGTCTGCATTTTAACAGAACTTTAGCTTTCTGTAGTCTGAGAAAGCTTCTTTCTCTGTGAAAAGGAAGAAACCTGAGGCAATGCTTAAATCTCATGCTGACTTCTTGGAGTCAGTAACTGGTATTCCTCTATCCTTAGCTGGTCACTGTACTTTTAACCAGTGTGATATTAAGACATGGTAAGTATCTAATTTCTCCCCACCAGCTGCATTTAGATGGCAATCTGTAGAATAGAACTATCAGAAACCAAGTATTTATTTCAAGCACAATGTCTAAGAGTTATTGGGAGCATTTACATTGTTCTGTTAGCCTCAGTGAGAGCTATTTGATAAAACGAGTTCCTTGTGCAGTGACTTTTGTGAATGGACTTTTACTCAAGTCTTGAAGTATATTAAAATGTTACATTTGTTTTCTCCATGTCACAGGTGCCCTTGTGACTGCCACAGATTTGCCAGAATTACTGGGAAACCTTCAGCACAACGTTCTCCGTAATACAAAGCTGAAAAGCAAACACCAGCCTTGTGTTAAGGAATTGTCTTGGGGAATTGATCTGGAAAAGAACTTTCCTAGGTCTTCCTGTCATTTTGACTACATTATGGCTGCTGATGTAGTTTACCACCATCCGTTCCTGGATGAACTCCTCCTAACTTTTGATCACTTGTGCAAGAATGATACTGTTATTCTGTGGGCTATGAAATTTAGGTTGGAGAAAGAGAACAAATTTGTGGACAGATTTCAGACCCTGTTTGACTTAGAGATGATTTCTTATTTCCCCAGTTTGAACATAGCCTTGTATAAAGCAATGAGGAAAGGCAGCATGAAAGCCAGCCTTCCAAACTGATGGTCTGAAAGTGAGATATAGGAAGGTGACAGTTTCAGCTGTTCTGTAGCTTGCTCTCTTTTTAATAATTTCCATATTAGTAGCTGCTAACATCTATGTGAATCACAGTTTTAGAAGTAGCTAAAACAAAGCATCTGATTCCTAGTGCCTCCCTAATAAATTGCTAAATTCAATTTGCTGATAGTTTTATACACAGAAGAGATGTACTTTTGACATTTTCTTGACTTTTATGTGCTAAGATGACAACTCTAATAAGTTTCACTGGTCTTAACACTATTGTTATGGGTCATGTAATGAATATTTCCAAAAGCTTTCAGTTACAGCTTTGAGTGGTGTCTTATATGATCAACCAATCATTTAAAACTCAAGACTGTCATGAATCTTTGCATTTAAAAGTTGAGGTGTTAAATATGATCTTTTCCCATTCTCACTATCATGTTAATCCTTCCTTAGAACACCCTTAATAGGATGTTAAATTAGCCGAAAAAAACCCTTGCTACCTATATTGTCATAATACAGGGATAGAATATATTAGTTACCCTTTGATTTAATAATTATGCTTTCACTTTTTATTTAGATTTGGAGATTCTTCATCAGCTGCACACATGAGGCAAGAGGGAGTTAAATGTTTTGTTGCTTGAACAAGTGCTCAATATGTAAGTTGTATAAGAAGAGTACAGCATATCACCAGCTGCCCTTTGCAAAGACCTTAGATTCTTGGATGTCTGCTCCTCCAAAAATAGACAGTTATCTGGACATCAGGGAACAACAATGGAAAAATGACGGTGACCATGAAGAGAGGAGCCTTGCACTGCCGGCTGCTGGTGGCTGGAGGTAGAAAACTAAACCAGCCTGTCATAGTGTGCCTGAGGCATGGACAGGCTTAGATATTTGTTTTGTGATATGGACAAACAAAATACTTTCCTCCTAGTCCTCAGGACTGTGTGCTTCTGTTTACAGTGACCTATCCAATAGTTTTCTTATGGGGAGATTAATAAAATTATTCTTTCCACATACCATATTTTCTGATTCTGCTTGATTTTGAGACCTTCAAGTCCCTTGCGGGCTAGAGAAGAGAGCTTTATCACCTCTACTATAGCAGGCAATTGCCCTAGCAATATGAAGACTCTGGGGACTGCCAGTCTTTAACTTTTTAGCCACTATCTGTACTTCCTCAAAGTGTATTTTATCTATTGTAGATTTGAGCATTTTTTTATTGTTGACTTCCAGAGCATACTAGTGTTTATACCTCTGATTGGGACAGATGCATGCTACTTATGTACTCTGCTGCCTGGCACAAGTACAAGGCAGAATTATGGTAAATAGCTGGTACAACTGGGATGTACTTTTTCTTCCAGCTGAACATTGGGTTTTCTTGGGACTAAGTTGCTTGGTGTTAGAGATGAAGTGTTGCAGAGAGGAGAGGCTGAGCTGCCAAGCTTTTCCAGTGGGAGCTGGGTATCCTATGTGTGAAAGGAGGTACTGAAGAGAATTTTGGGGGAGAGCAGATGAGGATGTGGCAGGAGGGATTTGTTTTTGGAGGGAGGGTTGCAGAGGAAAGGTAGCTGTAGGGAGAAGGTCAGATAGAGAAAAAGAAAGAGAATAGTGAGACTGACTTCAAAAAGTTTTTAGAACCATAGCACTACCTTTCTTGCTACTGACTGTAGTGAGGGCATTCTTGGTGAGACATGGATAAAACTAAAGCAATCAGTAGTATGTCTTAGTCCAGGACAACAAATGAGAAGAAAGGGAGTCAAGTCTATTTTCTAGCTTTCCTGATGAGAGATCGCATGTGAGATTTTGGTTTGGAGGTTATTGGAGAAAAAGCTTCTAATCCTCATGAGTTAGTTTCCTGTGACAAGGTTTGTAGATACAGGTAGCATCTTTTATTGGATCAATCAGTATAGCTAGAAAATTAGACTCTATGCCATCTGGCAGGAAGTATTACCCCTCCTTACAGATGTTATTATGCACATGGCCTGAGATCATTACAAATGTAGAAAAACATGACTACAAAATGGAAATATTTTTCCAGACTGTTTAATAGAAATAGTTCAGTGTAAGTGAATAAAGAAACAAAGATGGATCTCTACCTTTGCTTGATTTCCTTTCCCTGCTTCCTTATAACTTGTTTGCAACCATCAAATCTACTGCAATTGACACTGTAATCCATGTATCCAAAGGGCATCTCTGTCTACAAATGCTTCACGGATAAATGGATTGGGACTATAAGTACTCAATAACAGTGAAATTATTGGGTGAATTCCAAAGTTGTGAAGCTAAAGAGGAACACTACAGTAAAGTGGTTAAGTGTGATCACTTTTAAACAGCTAACTAGCCCTCCTGTTTGGACCACAGACTGACCCCTGCTGAGCTCCTGCTGAAGTCAACAAGAGATGTGTTTGTCGAATGGATTTGAGATTGCCCACTTTAGGTTCAACTGGAATGTAACGTCAGTTCTCTTTCTCACAAGTCTACCTAGCACCGCTGTGTGAAACTTCCTGGGAAATCTCTGGTGACTGGCTGCTCTATTGTACAGCCAACTTCTGTCCTCTGGTGCGATGGGCAGGTTATTAACCATGACCAGTGGAGGGTGAGGTTGTATATCACATTTGCCTATGGAGTTTATTTCTACTCTTTGAGAACAAGTCTCACACGAATGTCAAGTATTACTGACCCCTAAATTCAGTAATAATTTTACTAGCCACCTATTCTTTGTTTTAACATTTCAGATAAAGGATCAAATTGTTATTCAGTGCATTATGTTGCTAATACACTGGCATTTGTATCTGTAGTTTGTGAAAGGCAGAAGGAAAAGAAGGTCAATTAAATTTGTGGGTGAAAGAGCTTCACCTTTGAGGAATGCCAGAGAATCTACCTATGCTGGTAGGTTTTTGCAGTCTCTTATAGAGTGTTATGGTAATCATACTAATTGAAAAGATAAATTGGGATGTATGGTATAAGTTAAATCCATTCCTCTGATTTTCTGTATTCCAATATAAGAATAACTTATTGAGCAACGCTATAAATAAGTAACTTGATGGTATTTGCTAAATTTCCCCTAAACAATGTTTTTCAAGTGCTAACCCTAACCCTAATGTTTTCAGGAAGGGTTCTTTCTGCATAAAATATATATAAAATCATTACAGTGATTTACTTTGCTGCTTATTATACAATAATTTCATCAAGGTATTCTACAATTCATTGTTGTTTCTTTCTTAGAATTAAAGTAATAAACACTTTCAACATTGTACAGTTTCCATATGGTAATATTGTGCTTTTGTCTCTGTCTTGCTGAATTGCCGTGTTGCAACTCTGAGTGATTTGGTTTCATTTGCATTATTACACCCACCCATGTGGCCTCTTGCCTCCTATAAAAACTGTAAGAAAAAGCTGTAGCTGCTGAAAAATTAGAAAAAAGCATTCAAGTGACAGTACAGATCTATTGTGCAAAACCTCATTTTTGTTTAGAAGCAGCAATGGAGCCCCAGCCTAAGAAATGCGATTACCAAAAATACCCAAATAACTACCCATGGCACAAATGGCAGTTGAATGATGAAATTAACCATTCTACAAGCACTAGGTGAGCAGACAATATTAAAAGGATACCACACGTGTCCTCCTTAATTGATCTTTAATGCCAATTACCATTGAGTATGTCAGCACAGGAAACTTGGGGTGTTTGATAAATGTAGTATTTCTTCAGATGACCAAGTCCTGAAACCTAAATGGATTTAGAAGACTCCAATTCATCTAACAGCCTTTGAATTCTGAAGACCTGAAAGGTGCAGGACTTATCCCTACTCATAACCACTCTTACTGCACTGGTAACCAGTTGAATGAGAAAGAGATATAGATGCTATCAAAATATTACTATTCCATGGATGTAATTAAGAAATTGACATGTTCATTCTTATAATAACTCTGTGACATAAGGGAAATATTTTTACTCAGGTGTAAAACAAAGGGGAGACTAAGCTAACTATCAAGTGACTTAACGTCAGTTAGTGGTAAGGCCAGTACCAAAGTTCTTTCACAGTAAAAATAACATTTCCTGTGCTTTGAATTTGTTCACATTAAGAAAAAAATTAATTTTCATATTGAATAAAAACAAATACTTCCATGCCACTCTAAATAAATTATAAACACCCTAAAAGTATAAGCACGCAGCAATAAGCAAGAGTAAAATATCAATTTTTCCTTTTGCATAGTTATGCCATCCAAACAGTATTGGATACTCTGGAATTTCAGAATCATTCAGGTTGGAAGGCACCTCTGAAGGTTATCTAGTCCTACCTCCTGGCCAAATCTGAGCCAGATTCAAAGTGTGAAGAGGTTACTCAGTTTCTCTAGTTGGTACATGAAAATCTTGAAGAAAGGACATGTCACAATATATCTGAGCAGCCTGTTAATTTCTTTTTTTTCCCTCTCACATAACCAAATGGAATTTTTCTTGCTGCAACTGGGCATCTGTCTTTTGTCATTTTGCAGTGCACCTTTGGCTTCATCTTCTCTATAACTCTCTTGTTATGTAGCAGAAGACAGCTATGAAATCCACCTCTAATCTTCCTCTCAACAAACCCGGTACGCTCAACATTTGCTTCCTTCAGCCTCTGAACCCTTTTAGTCCTTCTGTGGATTCTCTTTAGTTTGTTAAGATTTCTACCATTAATGGTTCCACAAGTGGACTGCAGATGGGGTGTCATTATGCCACATACTGGGATAATTATCACTTTGAATGATCTGCTGGCTACACTCTTGACAATGAAGTTAACTTGCATTATCTGCAGGAATATGTGCAGGGTGCCATGCATTTAAACCTCTTCTCACAGAATGCAAATCCACTCCCGTCTTTATCCTCTCTTCTTGTTCTTCTTAAAGACCTGTGGATCACAGCATTGCAGTTGTGCCATTTATCTGAAATACAAGGCTCTAAAATATACATGTAACTATTACTATCTCTGAGAAAGAGTGATAATTGGAAATCAAGAGACAAGTAAATCGGGATTACTTAAAAGATACTGACTCTTAGGAGTTATACAGGCATAAAGTCTAAATGTACTGAAATCCTGAGTGCTTATGTTCTAGGAAGTCCATAATTAGATGAGTGTTCTATAGAAGTTCATTGATTGTTAGAGATTATTAACGTCTAGTATGAGATTACTGTATTATTGGATTACCCACATTATGCATTATCAGATGATTATTATTACAAATTCTATTATTATTACAACTTATTACAAAATACTGTCCTCCATGTTATGTTATTGACCCTACTCACTTTCTTTCGAGCTTGAAAACAGTTCATGTAAATAGGAATGTTGTTGCTCTCATGATGCCTGTGATTATTATACTCCTGTGTGCAGCAATAACTGGCACTCCAAGGTGCTCAGCCTTGGCAGCAGAGTAGAAGGGTCATTAGATATTGACTGTATTCCTATCAGAAGTCAATCAGCTTATAGTAGCATTAGCACTTCTGAATTAATTGGTAGAAATGTATGAACACTCTGGGTAACTGTACAGATTTTTTGATAGCAGAGACCATCTTTGTTCAGAACATATGATTTCTCA